ATTTTAAAAATAGGATAAAGAATTATATACTTCTCATGTTTGCACATAAGTCCAAAAATCTCACCATATACAACCTTCAAGCAGGACAGTCCCACAATATTCCTTTTCCTGTCTCTTGCCTTCATTCGCCATCCCCTTCCTTGTGAACAACCATCTGCCCAAGAGACATCATAGCAGCAACTGGCATGTCATGACAAGCAGCCCATATTCATAAGATCAGAATGACAGGCACTCCAAGCATGAAACTACTATTACAAATTACCATCTGCAGTGCAGTAGCTTCATTCAAAGGTATCAGTATATATAGTTAGTCAGGGTGAGAATCTTTCCAATTAACTGCTAGATTAAAAAATCTTCTGAAGATGCTCAGGATGATTGCCTTGCCCATCTTCTACATATAACTCTATGGCTTGACTTATTCATGTTTCCTAGGTCTTCTCCTTTCCCTCTCTTGAGTAGTTAGTCCTTGAGATCCCACCCTCCTTTTACTTGTATTATACCTTTCTATTTGTATTTCTTCTTTTGAGTTCTTAAACTAGGGAAATTATATGATATTTACACATGTGTGTCTGGTTTATTTCACTTATGAGTATATGTTTAAGTGGCATCCACTTTAATATAAAGGGTTTGAGTTTATCGTTCTTAATAGGAGAATAATAGTCAGTTGTGTAAAAATGCCACATCTTTTTCAACCATTCCTCAGGTGATAAACAAACTTGTTTGTTTCAAAGATTTGGCTATCACAAATTGTGCTGTTATAAACATAGGTGCAGATATATCAGTATGATATAATGTTTTCAGATTCTATGGGAAAATTCCCAATAGAGGAATACCTGGTTTAAATGGGATTTCCAGTCCAACTTTTCTAAGGAGTCTCTACAATGATTTCCATAACGGTTGCACCAGTCTACATTCCCACCAGCAGTGGAGAGGGTTCCTTTTTCCCCACAGCTTCTCCAACATTTGTTGCTGGATGATTTCATTATGATAGCCATTCTTTCTTGGGTAAGATGGTATCTCAATGTTTTTTTATTTTGCATTTCGTGGATAGCTATTGATGTGGAACATTTTTTCATATATTTATGTGCTTCTTTAATTTCTTCCTCTGAGAAGCATGTGTTCATCTCGGATGCCCATTTCTGGATTGGGTTTTTAAATTTTGAGGCCTAGTGTTTTTTAATTCTTTATAAATTTTAGAGAGCAGACCTTTGTCTGAATACTTATTTGTCATGATTTTTCCAAATTTGTGGGTTGCCTTTTCACCTTTTTGGTAATTTTTTTTGATGTGAAAAAAACTTCTCAGTAAGAGCAGGTCCCAGTTGTTAATTCTTACAATTGTTTCCCGTGCGATTTGATTTCTGTTCATGAACTCTTTGCGTACACCTATGTCTTCAAGAGTTCCTCCCACTTTCTCTTCCAGGAGATTTAGTATCTCTGCTGTGGGTCAAGTTTTAGTTTTTGGCATGTAGAGAGCCAGTTTTTCCAGCGCCATTTGTTTTTTATTTGCCATAATTTTATTGATAAACAAGT